TGTTATGGGCGCCTGCTTTTTGAGAGTGGCCGCCCCTACTGGCATTACTCAGAGCTGATCAATGGCATCACTGCTCGGAAGCCGATCCTTAAGAGGAGTATGCAAGCCTCTTGGGATTTGGCCTTCTCCTGGATGGCCCTGGAGCCGACGACCCACCACGTCGCTATGCCGGCGGTCGTTTTGTTATCCATGCTTTCCACTTGCTTGCACTGGGGTTGGTTAGCTGAAGCAGGCATCTTCGCCATGGCGTGGGGTGGCCTGCTACGGATAGGAGAGGCGACTGCTATGACCCGGGCGAATCTCGTGCTGCCGCAGGACGTGCTCCTCTCAGAACGTTTTATCCTGGCCAGGATTGAGGAGCCAAAGACTCGGATGAGGATGGCTAGGCACCAGGCTGCTAAGATCGAGCAGGCCGACCTTGTGGTCCTCATTACCACGGCCTTTGGCGACCTCTCCCCCTCGGAGAGACTTTGGCCTCGCTGCATGCAGACGCTTCGCAGGAGGTTTGACCTGGTCCTGGAGAGACTGGGCGTCAGCACATCGAGGAAAGGACAGCGACCCCTGGACTTAGGTTCGTTCCGGCCAGGGGGTGCCACTCACCTTTTATCATGCACTGAAAATAGTGAGTTGGTACGTCGCAGAGGCCGTTGGGCCTCGCATCGTGTCATGGAGATTTACATCCAGGAGGTGATGGCCTGTACCTTTTTACCCTCTCTGCCAAAGGCCACGCGGGAGCAAGTGCTACTTGTGGCTCAGAGTTTTACAGCAACTTTGGAGCAGATTGTGGAGTGGAAGCGGCTTGGCATACCTACCACCTCCTGGTATGGCCTCTTCTCTGCCGGCTAGCGGCCAGGCATTGGCTTTGGTGAGGAATGGATGGGAGTTTCGCGAAGGCTTTTTCAGCTGAAGACCTGGATGAGTATGCCCAGGCGCCTCTTTGGAGGCGAATTCCGGCGAGAGAAGTCAATGGAACACTTCGCTGCTGCAGGGGTAAAAGGAAGCTGCGAAGCTCTGGAACATAGAGCTGAGCATCGAACGATGGCCCTGTTGCTCAAGATTTCTAAGCTCCCACCCGCCCGCCTCGCTGCCGAAAGGGGAGTTTCGCGAAGGCTTTTTCAGCTGAAGACCTGGATGAGTATGCCCAGGCGCCTCTTTGAAGGCGAATTCCGGCGAGAGAAGTCAANNGGTAAAAGGAAGCTGCGAAGCTCTGAAAGAAGATTTGCAGGCCGTGCCTTTCGGTACCGGTTCTTGGTGTCGCACTTCTAATGTCTTACGGAACCCAAGACACGCCCGACATGTTTGAAACACCAATTTGGGGTCCGGAAGGGTTGAATATCCCCAAACCGAGACGATAGCGCTCCGGACACCGCGCCATGACGGAACCTACAGTCCTTAAGCTTGCCTCTTCAAGCCTAACCTTCCAACCCAAAGCTTCAACCCACAACTTCGAGCCCTAGACTTTGTAAGGAGCTGCAACCCCCCCCCCCCCCCCCCCATATAGCCGACTGCTGTCCTCCAGGAAAAGCTATGTCCACTTTCCATCCGGGGCGCAACTCCCTGCTGCAGGGTCCCGGGGGGGAAGCGCGACCACCTACCATTCCCAAGGAGGTTAGCGGTCGCCTGTCGGCGACCATTCCCACACCACAAGGCCGACGACAGCTTGGGTTAAGTGCTAAGAGGCGTGATAGAGACACGGTGCCAGTCGACATTAGCTTGTCAAAGCTTGTTGCAGAGCCCCCTCCGGCTGTGACATGGGAGATCACCCAGGACATTCTTGAGGACGCGCTTGCAGGGCAGCACTTGACCGATTTCAGTCAGACTCTACCGCCTGCATTGGGTCCCTCAGCACATGCGCGCATCTGGCACCAGGTCCAGCCCTTTCTGCCAAATGTCCAAGTTGATGGCCTTTTCCTCTTTACCGATGGGTCATTTTACCCAGGTCAGCAGCGTGCCTCCTGGGCCCTGGTTGCCTTAGTGTTGCAGAACGGTTGTCTTCGACGCGTAGGACACCTGTCAGGCCCATGCACTGTAATACCTGCTGTTGCCGCAGCAGGGCATGTGCCATCAGCCTTCGATGGAGAAATGGAGGCGCTCTTGCACGCACAAGCTACATGTGCGTCTGTCAAGCCTTGCATTGTGCATGTTGGTTGTGACTGTGCGTCGGCCTTGGCAGTCTCCTTTGGTTTTGCCGGTTTTGAGGCTACCTGCAAAAGTGTGGCTGCGGCGGTGGGACTAGCAGCCTATGTTGCGGTTCAAGGTACCCAGGTCTGCTTGCATAAGGTTGATGCCCACATGGGCTGTGCTTTCAATAGCTTGGCAGATGGCCTGGCCAAGCTTGCAGGCGCAGCACCGGCCACACAGGTGACAGACACCCCGTGGACTTCACTTCAGGACTTCAGGCTGCGGTACAAGAGCGCGTTCTTGAGAGAGCCTGGCTGCTCTCAAAGCCTTCCCTCGACAAACCCAAGGCCTAACCCCAAAAGAGCAGAAGGCACCGGCTTGATCGGAGATGCCTTGGGCGACGCCTACGAGGCCGCGGAGGACCAGGCGCTCGTTGGGTCTGTGTCGCAGTAAGGGGGGTCTCATGGGGGGTTTTGTAGGGCTCTTGGTTAAGTGCTTTTCAAACTTCCTTTAAGAGAAGGGTTGGGGAAAGGCTTGTATCGGGTTCTTACGGGTTTTGTTCGTGATTCTTTAGACGGCTGCAACAAGGGACTCTACATGCTTGGCTTTAAGCCGCTTTCAATGGGGGTTTTGGTGTCTAAGGGTTTTTGGGTTTGGTAGTTTTTGTTCGATGGCTTATCCTCGGCTGTAAGAATTCAAGGGCTTGGAGCTTTGGATTCCTGGAGTTTCAGGCTTTGGCTTCCGAGGTTCAAGGTCGGGGAGGTCCAGAGTAAGGGATGTTCTCGGGTGCCTGGATGACACTCAGCCCGCAAGCCTTGCATCCGAAGATCTTCCAGTCGTAAATCCCAACATTGAAACCCCGAAACCCCAAAGCCCTAAATCCTTGAACCCTGCATCCCTGAGTGCTAAAGCCATGCGTCCCCAACAGTCCAGAGCCCTAACCCTACAGGCCCGTGCCCTGATGGTCCTGGTGCCTTCGTGTAGGTGTAGATCTTGGCCACAGCCAGCAAAAAAACACTGAAAGCTTATAGCCAACAAAACCAGGTAGGCAGTCTAGAAGTGCCAGTGCGTTCGGACGAGGTATCTTTCGTGGCCGACACCTCAGCTCGACATGCGCATCAAGCGCCTATGACACTGTGGCAGTCTGAGTGGTGCAAAGTCGTTCGGGTTCCGTGACCTGTAAAGCAGGTCAACAGGCAGTGCAACTGAAATTTCTCGACTGTATGAGCTAAGCCCGTCTTTCAAATGTCGCCTGTGCGACGCTTGCTGGAACCAACTCCTATTCGTCGAGTAGCCATGCTCACGCAGGTAAACAGAGCTGGATGCGAAGACGCCTGAGGAGTTGAAAAGACCGTCAAAGTCATCCCAGATGCGCAGCAGCCCTCCTGGGTCTGGTTCGACCACAGGCAAGACAAAAAGAAAAAAAAAACAACGCCAGAGGCCTCAAAAGTGTCACCAGCAAAGAGGGATCTGCCCTTCTTTCAAGGCCTGATATGATGCACCGGCAGCAAGTCTCGAGTTTTTTTTTGCACACACAAACGCGGACTGCCCTTGTCTTTGAAAGTCCAGGAGCCTCGATGCCTAGACCCCAAGAGTCAGAAGCCGGAGCCCTAGGCCAATACCGTCATCGATAGCGTGGAGATGGCAGTGGACATCCTCATCCGCCGCTCTGCCTCCGATCTCCCTTGCCTGGAGGGTTCTTAAAAATTGTCCTCGCTTTTTGTTGGGAAGTTGCGGTTCTCTGAGGCACTCGTTTTTCCTAAGGCTTCCACAGGGTCGATTGAGAGCCCTGGAGTTTTCCTAGGCTCCCCACCCGAGCCTGAGGCTTCAAGCAAAACCGACAAAAAGCACAGACTTCTTCGGTGGTTATCATTTGTCGGGGGCGTAACCCTGTTCTTTTTTTTGCAGAAAGGAAGGAACAGCAGCTTGCCATGCACCGTGATTCCGTCATTCAGCCTCCTCGGGTTTTCGAACGAGACCTTGTCCAAGGGCTCTTCGGGTCCAAGGAGCAACCAGAAACTTTCAGGAGCCCAAGCCATGGCAGCCCCGGGGCCTTGAGCCATCTCAGTCCATGGAATGGCGGTTCCGGCCTAGCCCAAGCCCGAGGCAACATGCGCCGAAGACAGCACAGTAGGGCCCTGAAACTTGAAACCTTGCACACCAGCCCCTACTCTGAGAGCCCTCTCTGCCAGGCAAAGCTCCCAAGCCCTCTCCCAAGCTCTAAGATCCAGGCGGCTTTACCGATTGGAATGCCGGCTGCGACGAGAACAGGTGTGTTGGTCCGAACAGTGCGCGAGTTCATCCGAACGTGATCTTAAGCCCTTCATCCTCCACCCTGGGTTGGCGTGGCATTTTGCAGAGGGCTCTAGCGGGTGTAGACACCTGTGAAAGCTCGCTCCCTCGAGCCACCAAAGAGCCCTGAAATCCCTGACTACAAGCCTCTACACCGCCGGCCTCATCTTTTGAGCCCCTCATTCCGAAACCGAAAGTCGGTTTTTGCTTTCTTTTCGTCAATGGCCCGGAATCCTGCCATGACTGGCCATGACCCATATGTGTTATCAACAATACGATGAGATGGGGGCGGGCAGCTCCACCGTGATGTTGGTCTACGGGGTCGTGCACCCTTTTGTCCACCCGCCACCCACCATCCACCCCAGCAAACGTTCGAAAGGATTGAGGCCCGAGGACCCTCAGCCTGAACCACCCAAGCTGTACTCTAAAACTCCGAACCCTAACTTTCAACCCTGCAGATTCGGAGCTTTCCGACGTCAGTAGGCGAATCTCCTGGCTGAGACTGACTGAAGGTTCTCAAAGCACTCTTCCGTGAATATCCGAGTGGAGGTGGCCCTCGATGTCGGTGGGCTCCCAGGGCATCGACGTTGATTGGGGTCGGCAGAGGTGCTGGGCCCGGATCCCAGGAACCCGCTCGGAGGGAGTAGAAGTATGAGGAGGAGCGGCAGTAGGTGGAGCAAACGTCGTCGTCGCCGTCGTCCTAGTCTCATATCATGGGATCCATACGAAGAGCCCTAGGGGGTGTCTTCATCATGTTGCTACATTACTGCAGAGGTCAGGCTGATGGGCCAGACCTGCACCCTTTTCGACTTCAACTTCGGCACGACGGACCTTCTCAAGCTAAACAGGGTGAAGGGTCCAGGGTCCAGGGTGAGGTTTTTTTGGTTTAAGGGTCCAGGGTTCAGGGTTTAGGGCGGTAGGACTTTAGAACCGTCGTATCCATGTAGCCGCAGCGCCGAAGCTCCGAACGCTTGCAGCAGTTACCGCCCGTGGCTAGTTACTAGCGGACAATACCCCCGCCTCCCTCGTTAGGAAGTATGACAGGGATCTTGAAAGGAACGGGGTTTGTGAATCAGGGGTCAGCACTACTCAAGAGGTGCTGCACCCAAAGGTGATTTTCAGTTTCCCTCTAGAATCAGACCCAGTCCAAAAAATGCAATGGCCGAGCCTGAAGCCCAAACCCTATAAATACCTGCATGAGCCCTTAAACAATACACCCTCGCTCTCAAAAGGCCTACACACTTCGAAGCCTTCAAGAAACCCTCAGTCGAAAGGACCTCGATTGGCCGGAGCCACTGAAAACGGTGGTTGGCTTTGGCATCCTACCCGTGAAGGTTCGGGCGTGCTCTTTTATCGCTGCAGAAGAGCTCTAGAAGGATTTCATCCGGTGGTGTTGTATCTGAGAGTTTAAGGTTTCGGAGTGGGTTCCTGATTGGTGCAACTTATTGCGGGAGGTTTTCGGGCTTGGGCGACTCCCAGTAGTGATGCCTCAACACAAAGACACTTGGTAGACGACTTGCCTGTCAAAAGGCTGTGGGTTCTTCGTTAGACCCTTGATTTGAGGTTGGGAGTTGGAGGTTTGGGGATTGAGGGTTTGGGAGTTCAGGGTGTAGGGATTCAGGCTTACAGTTTTTAGTGCTTTTGTTTCTTTCCCCGTGGAACTCTCACCCAGCTGGAAGGCCATGATCAACATGGGGAAGGAGTCGCTTGGATGCATTGAACCCAAAACGCTGAACCGTAACCCTCCCTAGTCGCAACGCACCCCAAGCTGACGCACCTGAATTAGACCCTAGACTTTAAACGATGCACTTCCTATGACGACGGATACTCCAGCATGTCTATCTATACTCTCTTCGGTGTCCTGCAGGCTCCCCTAAGTCTTCAAAAATTGAGCCCTAAACCCTTCACCCCAAGCCCCAAGCCCCGGAACCCTTGTCCAACGAAGGGTCGTTGGGAAGACTACTTATACAATGGTAATGCTCAAAACCCCGTGCTCATTATGAAGGCCCCTATGGCAAAAACACAACGAAAGCTTATCAAGCACTGGCCCCTAGATGCAGTTACCTAGCTGAGGATGCTTTCCTGCAGCAACTTCGATGATCCGGTAGAGATGATCAAGTGCCGCGGCTTCATGTTAGGGACCCATAAATTATGTCGTGTTCTCTATAAGTATAGCCCCTAGTCTGTAGTTAAGATGAGATGAACCCAGGTGCTTCGGCTTAAAGCTCATCGAGATCGTCCCTCCATTGAGCCTGGGCCCGCCTAGGCTTTGGGGTTTATGGGTGGGTTCGTGAGCCTTGTTCGGGGTTTAGGGTCCCAAAAGGAAGCAAGTTTCAGAGGCAAGAGTCTTGTTCGCAGAGTATGGGAGTAGAACTATAGCAGCGTAGAGGGTCTTCAGGCAGAAGAAAGCAAGTTTCAGAGGCAAAAGTCTTTTTGCAGAGCACGGGAGTATAACTATAACAGCGTAAAGAGGTCTTCAGGTTTGGGCCCTGGCCGTTCACGCGTTCGAAAGCATCATCGCGGTACACAAGCGCGGTAGGTAGTCAGCCCCCCTTGCCATTGTCATTCGCGTCGTCGTCGTCGTCGTCGTCATCATGACTATCGTCGTCATCATTATCATCATCATCATCGTGGATTTGTCGCTCCTTACTTCCTTGCTTCATTCATTCACTCACTCACTCACTCACTCACTCACTCACTCACTCACTCACTCACTCACCCGCTCGCTCACTCACTCACTCACTCACTCACTCACTCATTCACTCATTCACTCATTCACTCATTCACTCATTCACTCATTCATGCATTCATTCTTTCATTCATTCGTTCACCACTCACTCACTCGCTCACTCATTTACTCATTCACTCATTCACTCATTCACTCTTCATTCATTCACTCATTCATTCATTCATTCATTCATTCATTCATTCATCCACTCATTCACTCACCGATTCGTTCTTGCTTCCTTCATTCGTCTGTTCTGGTGTTTGTTCGGTAACCAGAATCATCAGCATCGGCATCGTCAGCATCATTATCACCATCACCATCACCATCATCACCATCATCGTCATCATCAACATCATCATCACCATGACCGTCGTCGTCATCATCATCATCATCAGCGTCTAAGTCTTGCAAGCTCTGCTGCGCCACGTGCTGCATGCCGAGGAGCACGCTGAATCGCCTGAGCGACATGCTCACCCAGTTTATTGAGGTCTTTGCGCAAATTGCCGCAACAGTCGTCAAGCAGGCGAGCTGGTGGATTAAACGTGAACGTGAACCTGCACCGTAAATCCAAATTAAACTTGAAATCCGAACCCCCAAACCGTAAATGCTAGACTGTAGCCCCAAACCCTGATGAGGGATTTGTCGGTAATCTTTTCAGTCTTGTTATGTCTGGGCTTTATCATTTGAGGTTTGGGAGTTTTCTGGAAATATCTTAAAGAAAGGAGGATCCAAATAGCAGGACCTCCCAAAAAGGTAGTGCTAATTTTGAGAAACTGTCTCAACTAATATACAGGCCCTGGAAGACTGTATAATACCCATCAACACAACCCGCACAAGCCTCTTTGGCTCTGAGATTTAAGTTTCTTGGCCTTGCCACAGGCTGAACATTTAGGGCCGGGGAGGGTTTAGGGTCTAGGGCTAAGCTGGGAGTGTTGGCTCCCTCCGATCTAAGCATCTACCGAACTCTGGACTCGAATTCCGGAAAGCCCAAAGCAGCCGAACCCGAAGCCCGGAGCATGAAGACCTAAACGCGGAACCCCTCTGCAAGAAGAAGCAGAAGCTGCCAAGGTCAGAAAGCCCCAAAACCTAAACCTAAGCCCTGGCTGACCACACCTTTCGGGAGGTTCTTCATAGTGAGGCCTGAGGATTTAAAGCTTCATACCAAAACCTTCACCCTCAATCCGAAGCACGAGGCCTTCAAGCTTGAAGCTTCAAAAACAAGCGCTACGCCGGTTGAGGGTTTAGGATTGACGCATGCGTTACGACATGCTAATACTGGTCGCCAAGCGCCAAGCTGCGGAGGGTTGATGGCAGACCCAAAGAGGCAGAAACCCCAAGATCCCAAGTCCCTTTTGCCTAAGCCCGAGTAAAGCTTTTCGCCCAAATACGCAAGAACAAAGAAATGCAAGACACAACCCACAACCCACAACCCACAACCCACAACCCACAACCCACAACACACACAACACACGCTCACGCGCACGCGCCACAAGCCGAATGCCCAAGAGCCGAATCACCCAAAGCCTAAATCCAGGCCACAAACCTAAGCCCCATACCCTGAATTCCAAGCATCGCAGGTCTTGGACGATAGCCAGTCCTTGATACAGAAGCGGCGGCAGCCGAAATCCTAATCATTCGGCGGGGTGTTCAGCATCCGGATTCAATTCACTCTATTTCGGTTGCATGATGTTACAAGTTACAAGTACGGGTCTCTTCGGGGTTGTCCGGTTGTACCCCGGTGTCTTTCATGCGGAAAACAGCAAGTCTTGCAAGGCTACCACACACATAATCCTGTTTGTATGCCTACCTACCAAGTCCCTGATCCTTCAAGCAGGGCGGTTCGAAAAGCTTTTATCCCAAATCCTTGTTCCAAGGACCCCTTTGTGAGAGACCCCTAGCCCCCAAAGAGGCAACACAAAGGGCTCCCCTTTGTGGACTGCTATCCGTTTGTTGGAGGGTCCCTTGTTAATTTGGGAGGGAGCGTTTGCGCAATTATTTCCATCGCATGTAAATGTACAGTATGATCGGCATCTGCAGAAGTCGTGCTGGCATGGGATCTGCGATATCATAACAAATTCTCGTGAGCGGTACTGTGCAGATCCTTTCGGCTGCTGGAATTGGTCAGGTTGTGACGGCGATGGATAGGCTGCTGGAGTATACGGCGGGTGGAAGGGATGGCTGTTGGTGGGGCCTATTTGTGCTGGAGGTGTTGTTCTTCGTTGGTGTCGTTGGCATCATCGTCGTCGTCGTCGTCGCTGCTGCTGCTGCTGCTGCTGCTGCTGCTGCAGAATGTAGGCGGTTGTAGAAGTGCTTGCAGTGGTATTGGATAGAACTCGTTGCTGTTCTTGCTGCTGGTTGTCGGAATCTGACTGTGGCAGTATGAATGTGTATAGATACACACGCACACACGCATTCAACTGGGTCACCAACACCGAGGGTAGTCTCATCAACGCCCTGTTCTATGAGTTGCTTCTGCAATATGCGACAAACGTACAAGCCTGTGATGCTAGACCCTACAGGTCAGCACGAGAACCGGCATTGATCCAAACCTGGACAGCATCTTTCCAATCACGAAATGCAGCTCCCAAATCCGGAACCCCAAACCTGAACGCCTAAACCCCAACGCATAAACCGTACACAGCACGCCCTGTATCCAGGCCTCGCAGTCCAAGTTTCCTGCGGCCGGGGATGCGCCGGTGATCCACCACTCCGGCACCTAGGCTTCCCAGACTCTTCCCCTGCCATCCTGCTGCCACTGCTGTGAAGACTTGTGCTTGCATTAGATGCCGGCTGTATTATTATTATGATTATTATTACCATTAGTATTATTAGTATTAGTATTATTATTATTTTATTATTATTATTATTGCTGCTGCCGCTGCTGCATCCCACTACTACGACGACTACGAGTACCACCACCACTATCACGACCACGTCGACTACGACTACGGCACTGACACTAACATTAGCTCTCATTTGCGCTAGCACCAGCACTAGCAGTGGCGCAAGCGCTACCGCTACCACTGCCACTACCAGTAGCGGTATCCATACCACTACCACTACCTTCCTGCTTACCTACCCCATTTACCAACTCGCAAACTAACTAACTAGCCCGCCAGCCAGCCAGCCAGCCAGCCCGCGACGCAACCAACCCACCGACCGATCGACCGACCCACCAATCAACCCCAACTAGCTGACTAACTGATTGACTGACATTACTGACTTTCTGAATGACTGACTAACTGACAGACAAACTGACGAACTGATGTACTAGCTGGCTCGCGGACGAATTCACTAACTAACTCACTAAATATTTAAACTCACTGACTAACTCACCAAATATCTAACCAATCAGCTACTGACGGACTGACTGACTGACTGACTGACTGACGGACTGACTGACTAAGTAGCGGACTAGCCAAGTAACTAACCAAGCAACTGGCTACCTAGTTCTGGCCATGATTTTGTCATGAGGCATCTCGCGATTATGACTAGTATTCTGCTTAACTTCATGTTGCTGCGATTCTCCTGTTTCAGGGTATTCACACCTTGACCAGCCAAGTATACACCAGGATCTTGTAGGCATGTTCCAGGTTTGTTTTCCTCTGAGGGACCTCGTCACTAGTTACACTTGGAGTTCACCTCGAAACAGCCGTAGCAGGCCGTCATGCATGGCGGGTCTCCCTGTCTGTGATGATTGCTCGGGGTGTGTTTTGTGAAGAGCAGTCATTGGATCGCGGCAGGGGGCATGAACAAAGTGACATGTTGACCCATGCAACGGCCAAACTGCAAAGCCCCTTGAACGCCGCATCCGCAGGAATAACGACAACAATCACTCAGGCGCGGCTGCCTGAATCAAGCCAAGAAAAATCAGTTTCGGGTTCAAGCCGGCATGTTCCCGCGCCATGAACGTCACAGCAATTTGAGTTGGTTGAGGTCACAACGGATGCGTAAACACCGTCGAAGGCTTTAACCCGCTACAAATGCAGAGGAAGACACAGTGACCCATCAGTCTAAATACCCCACCTATCGTTTTCTTTCCTTCTCGCTCTCTCTCGCTCTCTGTCTTTGTGTTTCTTAAAGTCTTAAAAGCAATCAAGTTGTTCCGGGTGTTGCCCTGTCGTATGTAGACCAAAATGGAAACGAGGGCTCACCTTTTCGTGGAAGCTTTCCGACTCGGACAGCCGCTTTAGCCGAAACCGGTAGGAAGACTGTCTGTTGAAACTGGAACAGCCCTCAACTTGCGAAAGTATTCATTTTTCAATGCATTTTTGTGCCTGCACCCACCTACAGCGTGTTGCTCTCAAGGATGCGCAACGTAGAAGGGTTGGATTGTGAAGTAGCTTCATTTCTGTTGTGAGAGCTCGCAAAGTGAGAGAACCAAAGCTGGCAACTCTTTCTGATTTCTGGGTGTTTTCAACTTCGCAGTTCGAGGCCGGGCTTTCCCAGCAGTTCCAGCCACAACGTGGATACGGGCAGCTCCGACCACAACTCTTTCCAATCCAAAAGAACTGACACCGACCCGTTGGTTCGTTGTCCCATCATAAAAGGCGGTCATGGGCATGCAGATATTCAGCTGCTTGCAGTCCAGAACGCACGGTCGCACCCTGAACGATGGACAAGCCCCCGTGAGGACTCATGCCGTGTACGGTTGATCAATAGCTCCTGGAGAGTTTCAGAGACATACTGACGAACGCCAATCTCCTAAAGCTTAGGTGCCAATACAGCCCAAAGCCTAACCACAAACCCTCAACACCCCACACACATACCATAGACCATGTGCTTTAGCAAAGCGATTCGAAGTGCACCGGCAAGTTTCACCTGGTCACTTTCTCTGAAATTTCTGTACTATACGGAGCCAGACACTTTGGAAAAGGTATCGGGCTGGGGGTGTAGGGACCGAACTAAGAAGGAAAAGGACTGTGCAGGTTAAAGTTATATGGAGCACCTGTGAACCTTTCTGCACTTGGGTCCCATTTGGCTGCTGAAAGGATCATGTCTGACAAATTTCCAAACAGAGGTTCGGCTTCTTGCGAGTGAGATTTCCAGCCCAAACTGCTGGGCCATGTCTAGCATTTACAAGCAAGGCCGGGGGAAGTGTCCCACAGCACAGTGGAGGCCTCATTGTCCCAGACCTGCCGGAACTTCGTCTTGTAGGCCTTCTTGTTTCGCCAGATTCTTGTGTGAGCTTGGGTGTGGTACAGAGACTACATGTCTCAGCTATGCATGGGACATCTCCCAAAGAAGCAAGGCAAAACTAACACCCGAAGGCCCCGAGATCCGAGGCAGGAACCTGGTGATCAAGACCCACTCGCAGCATCCGAAGAAGCGGACCCGATCCAAGCTGCCCCGCCATGAGATGTCTGCGGTGCAGGCGGGGCTCTGACGTTCCTCGACATTCGGGAGTCAGAAACCTTGCGTTTGAGGTCCTTCATACATTGGAATCTTCTTCTATTCTACTGCCGGATGGACATTGAAAGACTCCCTGATGAGGACGATTGCGTTACAAGGTCTACGTGTTGTGGGTGTACTCGGGCCAACAGGATGTGGTGCATCGACGGAATCGCTAAGCTTCTCGCAGCCCAGCCAAAACTTTTAGACCCAGGCCTCACCCAGCACGTTGTTGAAACTTGTTTGCTAGGTGCAGGCCAAGGGTGATGACGACGATGGCGGCGGTGCGACGGGTGCCATCAACTTCGCGGTACACGACCAGGAGTGCAGGGGTGAGGGTTTCGGGAGCGTGTAAGGGATCATTTGTCTCTACCGTCATCCATGGCAATGCGACATTTGGTTTGCCTTCTGTGGGTTTAACATGTAGGATTGGGGGTGAGAAGGATGGTCTTGAGAATGCTGGTGCTGAGGACACAACTCTTGGTCCCTCTTCGGCTTGTGCAGTGTCTGGTGTTATAAGCTAGGTGTCTTGTCCAGAACCCATCATCTCGGAAGCTAAAGCTTTTATCGCTCTGTGACTGTTCTAGCTTTATGCAGGTCGCTCGAGGAAATAAGGGGCCCCAAGACAAAACCTGAAGCCTTGAACCTCATGTTGAAAAGATTCCACAAAACATGGAAGTCCACATCGTTGACTCTTGGGCTTGCTGGGAAGTTCGGGGTGTCGGATTGGGATGTAGGGTTAAGGGTTGGCAACTTCAGACTTTGGGGAATAGCTCCCACTGCCGTGCATGTCCCTGGCACCGAGGAGGGTAACTACGTGACAAAGCTGATCACGCAGTTCAACGGAAACCTGGTCCCATGTTGGAGTGTTCTTGCTTCCGTGCATGTTTTTTGGATCCCTTTCTCTAGCTCGTCTCGACGCCCAGGCAAACCACCAGCCAGATTGTCTTGCAGCCAGAAAGCCCTAAGCATCGAGCCTCGTCTCTCTCCAAGAGAAGAAGCGAAGGTAAGGAGACGGACACCAGCTCGTGCCTGGCTTTCGCACCGAAAAACAAGCACGGAAGCCAGAACCAGGCAGCCCGAGTGTGGGGAGTTTAGGGCTTGGGCTTGGCGCTGTAGGGTTGAGGGATTTGGGCTTTGGTTTTGGACCGGGATCACCCTGCTTTCGATTTTTGGCATCCGAAGATTTTGTGACAAGTTTTGCTGTTTAAATGAAAGCTTCGTCTTGCCAGGCAACGGAGGCGGATTGGCAGGTCAACACCGAGGGCGATTTCATCCAGCTGGAGCCGTGGGCAGTGCCCTGTGACAATTCGTGGATGAAGGACCTCGAAACATGATGCAGCAGAAAGCATAGTGGCACCGAGCAAGATGGCAGCAATCACGCAGTGCTGTCATGACTATGTTTGCAGTGAGGGTGAGTCGATCCCGCAGATCATCGCATCAAGACGATCAGGAGATGTCACTACGCATCAGAGAAGGCAACAGGAGAAATTCCACAACCTCGTCAAGCCCTAAAGGGCCCTAAAGCCAAAACCGCCACAGGACCACTGGAACAAGTGGCAAGGCTACTCCTTCTACACCTGGGAGATGTCCGTTGAGATGCTTGGCGAGCCGGTAGTAAGAAAAACGCATGTAGAGACACATATGCATGTACAAATTTGTCTCCATATACACTCTGCATAAGATGGCATCCCTACCATGGCCCTCCAGCAAGGGGTGCCGAGGGGCTTTATACTGCAGTCCAATTTGGGATATTGAGGGAAGTGTGGGGCCTAGCCCCCTTGAAAATGTAGACCCTTGAAGCAACAAGCCTAAAGCCTCAAACCGCACACTGTAAAGTCCTGGACCCAATTCCCGATGCCGTTGAGTAGAACCGAAGTGTGACTTGCTAAGCCCTGGAAGCCGTAAACACTTAAATGCCCAAAATCCCAGCGGCCCTAAGCCAACAAAAAGCCCTAAAATCCCCAAGCCCACAAGACCCTACAACCCGGACAGCCCCATGCCACAAGAGCCCTCCCACCGCAAACACCTCCATAGACCTAAACCCTGAACGTCGAAAAATCCCTAAAGCCTTAAACCCACAAAACCCGAGAACCTACACACCCGTAACCCCGAAGCCCAATGCCCTAAAGCCTAGACCATTGCACTTAAAAAAACACCCTAGACCGCTAAGCCCATACCGCAAAACCCGGAACTTTCAGGGCTCTCTGACGCTGAGGAAGTGCGTGACTGTGAGCTTCTCGCTGTCCATGCAACCGGTGCTCTCTTTCGCGCCGGGCTCGGCCGGGGCTTTGGGCGGGCAGAGGTTGATATCTTAGGGCTTAGGAACCCCAAAATGCCATAACGCCGAGCCCTCAACCCCTTCAGGCCTCAAGCCTTAAAGCCCACGTTACCCCTCAGCTCCCCAAGGTTGGAGGCTTGGAGTTCGATCTGATGCCAGCGCCGCTAGCAGCCCTGGACACCACAGTTTGCTGGTAGGGCTCCCAGAATTGGACTCTTGGGGGTTTTAAGGGGGCATAGGTTTTAGGTGGTTTAGGGGTCTATAGTTGGGCCAGTCAGTAGGCTTTCGGGGTTTCAGGCTTTACTCTTGTGTTGGTTCTAGGGCTTTTAAGGGTTTAGGGCTTCGGGGGCCGGGGATTTGAGGGCTTCGGATGTGATGTTCAGGAATCAGGGACGTGGGGCTCAGGCTTTGAGGTTCAGGGATTCGTCAAAGTTTGGGCTTTCGGCCTCTAGTCTCGAGCTGAAAGCCAAATCTTCGGGTTCAAGGTTGGCTTGAGCAGTCTTGGGGGGTTTTCGAGGGTGGCTGTGGGAGTCTTGAAATGAAACTGCGTCCCTGAAGTTTGAGGCCCGAGGCTTTTTGCTTGGGGCTTCTTCTACTGCTTCCACTTTCTGCTCCCGCCGGCTCAAGCTGAAGAATCTCCGTTCACGGTGCAGAGATTGTCGTGATGATGACCCATCACCCCGATTCCGCCGGAAGCAATCCTTCAAGCACCAGAAGAATTCAACACTGTTACTCCTCCTCCACCACCGCCATCAGCAACAACATCAACACCAACAACATCACCATCACCATCACCATCAACATCACCATCACCATCACCATCACCATCACCATCACCATCATCATCATCAGCATCAGTCAGCATCATCAGCATTGTCCTCCTCCTCCTCCTCCTCATCATCATCATCATCATCACTGTCATCGTCATCATCGTCATCATCGTCATCATCACCATCACCTTCACCATCATCACCACCATCATCAACAGTATCATCATCATTACCATCATCATCATCAGCAGCAGGAGGAGCAGCAGCAGCATCAATAACAACAACAACAGCAACAACAACAGCAACAGCAACAGCAACAGTAACAGCAGCAGCAACAACAACAACAACAACAACTACTACTACTACTACTACTACTGCTACTGCTACTACTACTACTACTACTACTACTACTACAGCAGCTACACCTGTAGCTACAACTACAAGTACAACTGCCACCATCGCCACTGCCCCACCCTACCACCCACACCGCAGAGGAAGTCTCCTGTGGGATTTTTTGCTTCGATTGTTGTGGTTGTCGTCAGACACTAAACCCTAAACCCGAACTCCAAAGCATAGAAAGCATAAGTTGCACACGCCACGACGTAAACATAAACCCTAAACAAATCCCTCGCCAGGTTTCCGGGGCCAACACCCTGAACCCTCAATCCACTCATCCCTGTTTGCGATTTTGAGAAAAGATTGGATCCTCAATCGCAGGATCAAGATTCTCCCTTACACACCCCTGATATCCCTTGAGCAGCCAAGTTCTCGCCGCATTTCCAAAGCCCAGGCCCGACAAGCAGCCAGGGGGAGTGGACCTGAGCGTGTTGCGCTCGGAGATTCGCTCCGGAGGCATTCTCCTCTTCAGCAGGACCAGGGCTTTGGGGGTTTCAGGGCTTTGGGGTTTGAGGGTTGTATGTTGGGGTTTGATGATGGAGATGATGGGAAATTCTGCTTTAAGCGTCTTTCATCTCTTGAGGTCATTCCCATTTGCTACAAGCAGAACAAGTCACCGACGCACAGCGCGAACCCTGAACTTCGCCCGTAGTTCCTTATGGCCGCCGTATCACATTTCCAGTACCATATATCTGTTAAGGCTGTTAAGGCCCTCGTTTTTAGGTTTAGGTTCTGGGGTCATTAAACCTCTGGCAGGACGCTGCGCTTGACCAAGCGCTTCGGCGGAAGCACGGACTTCACGAACTCGAACACGTGACTTACTTCAGTTCAGTCACGGGCTTTGATTTGAGGTTTTTTTTGCCGGACAGCTTGAACCCGAAGCCCTAAATCCAGAAGCCAAGAATTGCAAAACCCGAAGCCCGAGGCCCAGAACCCCGAACCCCAAGCTGTTTGAACCTTGGACCGGTAGCCTGCAAACTCCAGAGCCCTTAACTTTGACCCGAAGACATCCTTGCCAAGGGTAGTTTGTGCTCGCCCAGATCTTGGACTTTTTGGTGTCTATGCTTGGGAGTCAGTGTTACCTTTCAGCCAACAGACGTTCGGTGGGTTGGGATTTCAGGGTTTAGGACGTTCAGGATTCTAAGGTTTCGGGTTTTAGGGCTGAGGGCATTCGGGCCAAGGCTCAAGGCCCCATGGTGTTTAAGGCTCGGGTGCTTTGGGGCTTGGGGTTCTGATTGATAGAGATTTTAGAGTTGGCCTGAGTTTGGCTTTTAAGGTTCGGTGCGCACGAGACCTGGCGCAACCCCATTGGCATCGCCGTGGGCGAGCATCTTCGAATATGTGTTTGTTACCTTAGGGCTTAACGCGTTTAGCTAGAATAGGCGTTAAGGCCAGGGCTCTGCAGGTTGGAAGGTGAGCTTGCCTGAGCCTTTGCACCGTGCACAACTACTCAGAGCTGTGTCGGGAGTGATAGAGCCTTAGTGACTTAGTGTAGGGTTTGTGGTTTTGGGTTTTGGCAGGCTGCAGGGCGTTATTAGTCAGGTAGGTCTTGCCCACTTTGGGTAAGAGCCCCACAGGCTTTGGGGCAGTAAGCTAGAGAGGCTTAAAGAGAAGGAATCAGTTCGGGGAGTTTGACGCTGAAAGAAGCATCAAAAAACATGCAGGGAAGAAAAGCATTAATATATCATGGTGAACAATGGAGCACACAAATCTGAATACTTATGAACTCATAGCACCATAGCGCCCAACTCAAGTAATATGAAGATATGCGGGTTGAACAAGGAGGAAGTTGAGTTGCGACAAATGATGCATGGAACGGTGTTTGTCCAAAACCATTTCGGAAATGTTATGGAAGGCATCAGTGAACTAGAAAGCAAGATTAAGAACGAGGACACGAAACTGATTAACAATCATTCAGAAGTAGCTGAGCCAATTGAAGTTCTTTGTGCTACTGATGCTCTAAATATACAAAGTACTGAGAGGAACAGCCCCAACCTGCCAAGCGTTGGACTGAACAGTCCGTTCAACAAATTTGAAGAAGAGTACGGCGAACGCTTCAAACAATAAGTTGATGAAGGACCAACCATAGTTTAGTCATGAATTTTGCTGTTATTGAATGAAGAATCCTACAAGCATGTTAGGGACGTGTGGGGCTATAGTTGGGAGTAATTGGCATTTGCCATATGGTAAAGTCAGTGATCTCGGATATATTGGGCTGCATTTGGGAGTGTAAAAACCGAAACGGGCAAGACCTATCCGAACTGTTGCAGGGTATCAGATTTACTGGGAGGTTTATAAGGTTTAAGGCTTTAAGCTTTCCTCAGCTGAGCCTACCACAGGGATAACGACTGCACATTCCGACTCGTCATGAGATAGCGAGCAGAGTATAGTTGAATTCAGCAAAACTTTTGTGTGGGTATGTATGTAGAGGATTTCCCAATACATTTTCCTTAAACCTTGGTCCCAGAACGTGCAGGTTGCAAATTCCTTCATTACGCGCAAACCGTGTTGTTTGGCTTTAAGCTGTCGACCCATCGACGCCAAGGGTACTGCCTCAGCGCTCCTGGCCAGGATTCCTTTCTAATCAGTATCACTAGCAGCATTACCAGTCGTCTTATAGGCAATGAGTGCTACTGGAACCATCAGCTTTTTGTAAGCCCATAGCCCCGAAGTCCCAAAACCCGTAACCCATCATCCTTAAATCCCAAAACCTGAAAACCCCCTAAACCTCTAAAACCCCTAAACCCCCAAACACCCCTAAATCCCTAAACACCCCTAAACACCCCTAAACCCCCTAAGCCCCCAAACCCCCCTAAACCCCTAAAATCCCTCAACCACCCCTAAACCCCGAAACCCCATATCTGCCCAGGCATTCGGTTGAGGACGATCGGACCCTGGAGCCGATGGACAGGACTGCGAAGGTCATAAACGTTTTGGAGATGAGTTTAGGGTTTGGGGTTTAGGGTAGCTCTGAAACCTCTCTTCTTTTACTAACGATTCGGTTGACGCATCGCCAATGCAAAAAGAGTGTTCGCTCAGCAGCATCTTGGGCAAGTGTCTTGGCGGGAATCATGCAGCATTCCAGCCGAACTGCCCGGAGGAAGTGCAAGTGCCTGTTCTTGTGACGACTGCTGGGCCCTCAATGCTGCTAGTTCTCAAACTCTTTAGTGATCATGGACAGCGGAGACGTAGTCTTTGCGGGATATACCTGTGACTGACTGGATTGCAAAGCTGTCAGGGAGTGAAGATTTCCTGGCAGCCCCAGTGGCTTCGGTGGTGGGAGTGCTAAATCAGGGCAAAGGCAAGAGCCACGGGATAGAGATTGCTTTCATTCGCGTGCCCATCAGCTCCTTAAGCCTGAGTCGGCCAGAGAATTGGAGTGCATTGATTGAAGCAGACGGACTTCCCTTTTAGGCAGGCATCAGCTGCTGCATGGAAGCAGGTGAATGGCGGCAATCTTTCAAGCAACGAAGCCGAGCGACCTACAGCCAAGAGCAGCCGAAAACCCAAGAGCCAAGTCGAGATGAATCTAAGCGCCCTGGGTGCTCTGTTTCAGAAGGGCCGGGACACGCAGACGAAGAGGATGAGACGGACGACGACGAGGACGCCTGGGAGCCAGCTCCGTATCTCCGACCCGGTGCTCCAGCTTCCTCCCGGAGCCGTGCCGTGAAGGAAGCCAAACCCAAGAAGGATGGCAAGGACCCCCCGGATTTGAGGACTTTGCTTGCTCAGGCTCTAGCTAGCGGGCAGAGCAGCAGGGATTTGATGTCATTGGTGATGATGACGATGCTCGAGAAGGACAAGAAACGAGGCCATCGACGGCGAGACAGTGCCAGTGGCAGCTCAGATCTCCTTGGTGGTGGGTCTTCCGACGACTCGAAGGGCGACGACGACCTCAGGGGAAAGGGGATGAGGGCTGTTTCAACGTTGCACCGATTGCATGCCCAGGTGGCGGGCAAGCGGCCACGCAACATTTGCGAGATCTTCGAGAAGGAATCGAGGAGTTGGGGGTCACGGCGGGCCAAAGCTGGACCCTCAGAGATTTCGTGAAACGCCAGCCGTGGGGAAAGTTCAAGGGAAGATCAGGCAGGGCAGGGCAAGTCCGATCAGGCCGCGGCTCAGCTTGTTCAAAAACCTCAAGGCCAAGATGCAGAGCGTGTTGTCGCAGGGGGACTAGCAGACAGCATGGTTATTAACGGGGTTACCAGACCCCATGGCCCGGAAGGAGTTCGCGGGCACAAAGAAGGAGATGTCGATTTTGGCTGGGTACATGTCCTCCCTGGCGAAGTTGAAGAAGCGTGTCAAGGAGGTTCAACACCACGGCCCACAGGAGGAGGAGGAGGAGGCGACTGGTGCCTCCCGGAAGTGATCACTCACCAGTCCGTGCATGGAGGCAGGCCCCTTTGCTTAAGGCAGCCGGGCTTGCGTGGAAGGAGTTCGCGATTACTAATTATGTGGCCTGGCTGGAACGCGTCCTAAGGTACTATTGCTGCTTCGGACTGGCAACGATGTGCCACTTTTCCCCTGTGTTTTGCCGTTTCCTGAGGTGACCTTAGTCGAGGTTGTTAGCGATAGTGGTCAAGCCTGTGGTTGGTAGGGCTGAGCCTTCGTAGACATGTTTGTGGCTTACTTCGTGGTGCTTGGCTGCCCGCGCTCGGGGAGCTCTACACTGGAGCCGCGAGTTGTTTATCGAGCTGATGTTCACGACTTTGCTCTTAAGCTGCTCGGCGAGGTGAACCAATTCGCTTCTTTTGGGTTGGTGGCAGGTCTTCTAGAATGCCAGTGCAAGAGATCGGTTCTGGAAGACATGTTGACGCTTAACTTTGCGAGCTATGGTTGGGCTGCGGTCGTGGCTCCTTCGGGTGCTCTTTCTGTTTCTGCCATGCTTCCGCTGACAATGTAGATGCAGCAGCGGCTGCCCCAGACCAGTTGCTCCAGGCAGTTCGCCTTTTTGGTGCTTTTGTTACCACGCCTTTGTGCACTGCTGCTCGCCCTGGTAGTTCGTCTTCTCCTGAGCAGCTGCCAGCCTTGGTTTCCAGTCTGTTCCAAGAGGTTGGGCGCAAGTGATGGGGCACTGTGGCCGAGGTTGAGAAGTTGAACACAACTTAGTGGAGTGGCTGCAGGCTCAGATGGGCCTGCTCAATCGCAGGCAGCAAGGGGCAATCCCGACCGAACCCGCCCTTTGGCTGCTGACGTTGTCACCTGAGGCGTCCGCTCGGAGGGGGGGAGACCTGAAAGTTAAGCTTTTGGAGCCTTTGTCAAGACCAGCTTCGAGGGTGACTACCGGAGAGCTCCGGAGTTCTTTGAGGGCATCTCGCTGTTCTTTGACGGCATGCTTTTAGTATCAGGATTCGCTCGCCCTCTCACCCTTCGACGGCGAGCTCTGAAACCTCTCTTCTTTTATTAACGACTCGGTTGACGCATCGCCAGGGCAAAACGAGTTCGCTCAGCAGCATCTTGGCCAAGTGTCTTAGCGGGAATCATGCAGCATTCCAGCCGAACTGTCCGGAGGAAGGGCCTGTTCTTGTGACGAATGCCGGGCCCTTAATGCTGCTACTTCTCAAGCTCTCCAGCACCTAGACCTGAAGGTTAAGGTTTAGGGTTCGATACGGCGAGTTTTTGGAGGGTTTAATTGTGAATGAAAGGGTTTACAGAGCTTGTAAGGGTTTCACAAGGGTTTCTGTTGATGTAGTAGCATCTACTCCAAAGACAGTCCGAGTCCTAGCATATTGTCCTCCTGTGAAGCCAAGTGTGATTTCCACAGAATCCCAACAGCGTTAAATCTAAACAGCCAGAAGCCTTGACCCCAAGTCCAAAAGCCTTAAAACAAACTAAACATCAACAAATCTTAGAATCCAAGAGAAACCCCAAGACCACCCTAAACCCCACACCTCTAAACCCTAAACCCTAAACACCACAAGAGATCCCGGAGGACCGCCAGCTTCTTGCAGTCCAACCGCACCGAGAAGGCCAATGCCTCCGAGGCCGAAACCCAGCGTTTACTATAAGGGTTATGAGAAGGGGTTGCTACTAGGGTGCGAATCTACGGTAGTATTAGGGGGTTGTCAAGGGCCAAGTGGGTACTATTAGTTGGTAGTATAAGGGGTTCAGGGTTTGGGGTTCACGTTCCTCTAATTCTTCCCGAGCTCGGAATTGGGGTTTCGACTGCGTAGTTTGGCGGCTGTGGCTTGTAATTTGACTAACGCAGCAGTCCTGGTTTAGGGTGACTGGTTTGCAGCATGTGGGGTTTACGCAGTTTTGCTGTGATTCTTCAGGTTGGAGGATCCTTGTGTTCGGCGCCACGGAAGGCTTAAAGGGTGAATTTTGAAAGGTGTATTTGGAGTAGAGGAGTCTTTCGGTTTCACAAAGAAAGTCTGCGGGCGGCAGAAAGACCCACCTCCCGTACTATCTCCGCGCTTGCATGCAGGGGCTCCACTCTGAGGCCGGTACAGATCTCCCAAGAAGATCTAAGAAGTGCTGCGTGTACATAGTTTCACGGCATAGACTGCACAAATCCTAAATCGTTAAGGGCAGGAATCTCTTGAAACACCCTCAATCCTCCCATGAACATTGCCACCAATCAGACACACCAAAGTCGTAAACTCCAAGAGGAAAGCCAGAGCTCGTTGGTTTGGGAGACGGACATGGAGGAATTCCACCTGGCATCCGTCGACTACGGCAAGGACACAGGGCACGTAATTCAGGGCCACATGGTAGGGTGCCTGGATGCTCTTTGCATCGTCAAGCTGAGACAGTGCATGCAGCCAACTCCTTGCAGCCCTAAGCTTTTGGGCAGCTGAAGCTTACTTACAACAGAAGTGCTTACAAGCTCTGTTGACTCCATGCGTAGATCGGAGCAGGCATAAGAAGAAGTAGTATAAAAACCGTATTGCTATTCCTTACGGTTCCCTGTTATGGCTGTAGTATTATGTACCCCCAAAACCCAACTCTGAATAGGAAGGCCTCGTTTATTCAACTCCTTGATTCCAGGACCTGGGTGTCAAGAAGACTTCAGAGCAGCGGGGGCGAGAAGCCTTCAGCACTTTGCAGCAAAAGGCTCGGGGGTTCAGGATTTTTCGAGTGTAGGGTTTAGGATCGGGTCTGGGGCTGTAGGTCTTCAGGGTTCTCGGGTTCTAGGGTTTCTTTGCAAATCTTGGCGGGACATGAGCTTTGGGTAGGTCTTGGGTTCATGTGAGATTTTCTTAATGGTTACACTGGTGATGCTAGTGCCACAGGGTGCACGAGGGTATACTGTACTTCATTTGCAATGTGCTCAACGAGTCGAACGAAAACGAGACAATTGCAGGTGATACAACTCGCTTGGGGTTTCGGGCAACTCGGTGTCTTAAGCATTCGTGAAGGTTTCTACTAGGTATCAGGCTTCAAGAATGTTTTCGGGTTGAGGGTGCAGGGTTTCAAGGGTTGCAATGTTTGCGGGTTTACGGGTTTAGAAGCCTGCCAATGCGCCCAACGGGTCCTGCATCGGAAATGACTCCAATTCCAGAGCCCCTGTGAGAGCAGCCGTAAAGACTAAACGCTTAGGGACCGAGCAGACAAAGACAAGGAGCTCAAGCAATCCCAGAGTCCTAAACCCAAGCCCCAAACCCTGAACCCTGGACCAAAATGGAGATCGGTCCTCGTCAGAGGACAGTGAGTAGATCACAATCAAGATGCCTTCTGATCGTTCAATGCAACCCTGTACAAGCCTTATGAGGCCCCAACCTCAATCTCGCCTCTGCAGCGGAAGTTCTCGCAATCGCCGCACCACCCTGAAACCGCAAACCCCAACCAAACTATCCCTCCGTCCAGGCTTCCTCATCGGACTACTTCCAGCTGTTCAGCTTCAAGCGGCTCGGTTTTGTGTGGATCACCAATGAAAGGGCTTCCTTCGCGTTCGTTTCTTCCAACTTCTTCGTGGTGTGAAAAGCCCAGAGGCTCATAGGGTTCAGGGCTTCGGGTTGAAACTTCTGGGTGGTGATGGTTTCGAGGGTTTTGGTGGAGTGTATGTAGGTTGAGTGTTGAGAGTGTTGGATTTCAGGTTTAGGGTTTGGTCGCGGCCTTCTGAACGCAGCAGAGCTCGGGGTAAATTGTTTTCTGGGGATTGCGAGCGGATGTTACTCTTGCTTGTGCAGGCCCCATGGTAGGCGGTCATAGGGTTTGCGACTGTGGGGATAATCTTTTTTGGGTAATGCTTCGTCCTTGACGCATCACCTTCACATCTTCAAGTGTTTACTTGCCCTGAACCCTGCATGTTTACAATACAGCGAGCCCTGAGGTCCTGGCACCTGCCGCAGCCAGACGAAGGCTAAGGCCCACGTCATGAACCCGATACTCTAACCCAGAACAGGGGCTACGTGAACCATGCAAAGGTTCTAGATTCTGGACACTGGAACCCTAAATCCGAAATCTCCGATCTGCAAGCCGAAAATGAAACAGGTCTGAACCCAATACGGACCCGACAGTATAGGGGTTTCTGGGAGCTAGGTACTTTCTCAGCCCAGGAATCCCGGGACGGTGAACTTTGAAATTCAGGGCCTTCTGGAGGACAACAAGCTGGAGCTGGGAATGAAGGCACCCGTGTTTCGAAGGGTTTAGGGTTGAGGGTTGCTGTGCAGGTTTGTTTTTTTTCAGAGGGAGACTTGGGTTGGAGGGTTTTTCATGATTCAGATCAGTTTGGAGATTTTGAGGGTTCGAGGGCTGAGGGTAGGAAGATGTTTGGCTTACGGTTAAGATGTAGGGGACAGGTTTCAGTTGGGTGCAGAAGCTGTAGGTGCAAAGACGGAGATGTCTACAGACAGAGTGTAGAGTTCAGGGTTGACGGCTTTTCCGCTTCTGAGGTTCTGAGGTTCTCGGAAAGGGTTGAGGGGAGGGCGTGCTGCCGTTCTGCACTGGAAGCGGAAGCCCAAGCCAAGGAAAACTCCAAAAAAAAACAGGAACAGTCCTGGGGTATCCATATGCAACCCCACGTTCAACGCAAGAATAAAAGGCCTTGATATCTTCAGCTCTCAGAAACGGGCCCTCAACCCTGCAACTTGCACAAGTGGAGACGGGCCATCGGTCCTCCCCGAATTACGAGTTCTAGCATTCAAGCTCACTGAAACTCGAGATGCTGCAAATGGTATGCAAGACATGAAGAATACATGACAACAAGGCACCCTCCGAAGGTGAATATGGGCCCCTTCTCGTCGCCAGAGAAGAGAATCCGCCTGCTAGACATCGTGGACCAGTCACTCAGCTTTTATTCTTACTGTTAAACTTTTTCTGCCTTTCCTTCTTACGCGAGGTGCTGTCGAGCTTGTCCTTGCGTGACTGTTATGTGTTTGCAGAAAATGTCGAACTTCCTGGTGTTCTCTACCGGGCTGTCGAGGAATGGTGCCGCAAGCATATCTGTGTGTGTATATATATACACACATGACTTGGGTGTTTTCAGAAAGGCCTGTGGGTGATTTGAGCTTAAAAAAGGCAAAACCACAAAAACGAGACAAGTTGAGAAAGTTGAGAAATTTAGGTTCAAATATTGCATGACTATAAGCAAAAGGCAGTCAACCCTCAGAACATGTCTATGCCCTTTGCCATTGTCTTGCGCCAAGGTTGTGGACTGCTTGGTTCAAACGCATGTGTCAATGTGTCCTTGACAGCTCAAATCCACAGGCCTTCTAAAAAAACACACACACACACACGCGCACGCACGCACCCACACACACACACACACCCACCCACACACACACACACCCACACACACACACACACACACACACACAC